CACTTTATGCTGTGCTCTGATTTCAACTCAGCAGCTCGAGCAGAGATGGCAAGACATGCAGGATGAATTTTGGGGATGTGCAAATCCTTTGCATTTTTTTTAAGGCAGGTTTGTCAAGAAACTGTTCAAAAAAAGTGAAAGAGAGGGAAAAAAAACACCTTTTGAATCTCTCATTTTGACAAAAATGGTGATGCTCTCTCTTTTCGATGGCAGACAAGTGTTGTCTGCGCGTGACACCAACGGAGCAGAGAGAAGCAATCTGTGCCTCTGAGTTGTCCAGGCTGCAGGAATGAAAGGGGCAGGATTCTTCAAGTAACAATTACCTTTATTTTCTTGGATCAGCACATGCWGCAGCAGCTGCACTGAGGGGGCTGACAGGCGTGCCGGAGTGCTGGGAATGCACCGTGCTGACGCAGCCAGCAGCTGTTTGCCCGGGCAGGCTGATCATCATAATGCTGCTAATTAACAGAATGCAGTGCAGAGAACTCTACTGTTGCTCTTTAAACCTTAGGCCCTCAGCAATTAAAAAAATGTCAACCCTTAGTTAAAGATCCAGAAAGCTGACGGTCACATCTTCTGAAAACCAGTCTGTTCAATACTGGCCATACTACTGATGGACATTTTCCCAGTTTTGCTACTGACTGCACAACGTTGGAAACAGCAGTTAAAGGCTCCCTGTGCTTAGAGAGAAAAGCTGAAGTCAAAGTGTAAGGCTGATCACAGAGGACAATCCTTACAACTGTAAATATAGTCTTCAAATCTATATTTTACTTTTCTTAAAATGGTAGGGACAGAACCTAAGACATCCAAATCCCAAACTGACCGTTAAAAAAATGTTTCTGTTACCCTAATCTAGTAGCATCCATCAAATACTAACTGTATGATTTTGTTTGGAGTGGCTGAGATCTTAAACAAAGCTCTGCAAGGTTTATAATCGTACAGTTGACAGAACTGACTGTATTACTATACTCTGTGTAAAAGTAATGCAAACAGGAGAAAAACTCCAACACACAGTTTTGGCTTGAAGCTCATTCATAGCTACCACACGCCTTATGCTTATATCAATATTTACTACAAGATAATTCACTTGAAAACCTGGATGGATTATACTCCRTCTCCTGATGAGTCAATGAAAATTCCTCCTACAGGCAACACAGGTTTAGTAAAACCACAATATAAAACAGCTTTTTACCTTCTGGGAAGTTTGTGGTTTCCTTTGAGTTCATTGTTACATAAGAATCAATGACATAAACAATAATCACTTCCACTCTGAAGGCAAGATATTATGCCTATGGCAGTTAATTTATTTTTACTATAACTGCTTTTTAGGCTTATTATATACTATGAGGAGATGTGAAGATGTACAATAAGATGTATAATGCCAACATTAAAGAAAAAAAAAGGTATCAGATGTAACTTAGCTAAGTTTTGAAATACTTTTATGCTCCATTTAAACAGACTCTGACTTTGGAAATCAAAGGAAATACAGAACTACTCTGCAGCAGAAGAGAGACAATTATCACTGCCTTTCAAAAACCAGGACACCTAGGGATTAAGTCTCCTTTAATTCTAGCCAATRGTCAAAACCAGGTAAGGATCGTGAGCAAGTAAAAATTCTGGTCTGAAGAGAAACACAACTATGTTCTTGCACACACCCCTTAGGGCTGATTATGAACGTTAAAAAGAAAAGCCTACCATATTCATACTGTTAACTTTCCTAAAATCCAATTAAACTTTGTGTTAGTGAAGGAAAAAGCAGTCTGGCTTGCCTATCAACTAAAAATATCTCAGCTTCACTTTGCAAACACAGAATGCTCACTGGACTCAAAGCCAGGGGAAGGAAAACAAGAGGGTTTTTTTTTTTGTTCTTTTTGTTGTTGCTCTTTTAATAGCCAGCAAGCAGATGTATTTATGGTCTGGAAGTCAAGCATAATTCCTGCTCGCATCATCGCCCCTTGTCCAGATCCCAGCGGCTCAGTCCCCTTCAGGAGACCCTCAGCCTCGCTCCGTGGTGAGCAGGAATTCCAGGGAGCCCGGGCCTGACCTTGGCTGCGGCACCGCACTGCCCATGTCAGTGGAAAGGAATGCCAGAAACCCCTCTGGCCACCRTGCACAAAAGGGAATACAACCCAGCTCCCTTCCACTTAGCTGTGGTTCTGCAAGGCTAACAACAGTGTAAACTATTTTTTTTGTCAGCGAAGTGGGTGCATACAGCCCTAAATCAACACAGGAAATGAATCAATTGAATGGGATTTTTTTTGCCTTCCCCATCACTTTTCTTTTTTTCTCTTTTTGTTTTTCTTTTTAAGGCCGGTGTGTTCAGCAAGCCACAATTTGTACTTTCATCAGATTCTTCTAAGAGAAAAAGCATAGAAAATACCAGGGAAAATACACATTTTGTCAAAAGATAAACATTTCTTTGTCTTGCAGTAAAAACAGCAAGTAAAAAAAAGCCCATTTCTGGAGAACATGCTGGTAAAATGCATCATTTATCAAAACAGGGTCTGTCGTTAAAATGCTTCTCCTGCGAGCCTGTAAGCTGCTAAGTTTGCTGCCACTCACACGGTGTGTGGTTTTTGTCCTCATAGCAAGAAACTTTGATGAGAGACTGTACACGAGCCAGGTGGTAGCTACGGGAATATTGTAGGGGGCATTTTACATGCCAGAGCACTAAGGAATCTAAAGGACTGAATTAAGTGTAACACAGTTCAGGCAGCCAAGTAYGCCCAATATTTGATGCTCCTAAGGAGAGCAAATATCGCTGTAATTCCCAGGCATGGAAGGCTGCCCTCCAGCTGCCTCTCAGTGCAGGCTTCCTTGGGGTTTAAACTGCCTGGAYTGCTCATATGTGAACATCATGTACAGTATTCTCCTAACTTACCAATATTGTATCTGATTAATCACATCTCACGGTCAAATTCATCTAACTCCTGAACCAGGGCTTACGTGCAAATTGTCAGGAAAAAATTCTCTCCCCTGTCAGTTTTGCTGAAGCCTGAAGTTTGCAAGACTTCAGAAAGCAAGTCTRAATATACCCAGGTCAGCATGCAAATAGCTTTAAGCCCATACAAGTTTTGTTTTCATCATATTAAAACATGCAAAAATTACTGCCAACATATTTCCCTTGTCTGAATGTGGTAAAAGTAAGAATTCTTGAGAAAATATGTTCACATAAATTATTAGAAAATTAGAAATTAAAGGCTGTTCACTGCACCAATAATTGCTTATTACTACTTTCCTGGTTCATTCTGGCTCATCTCACTAGCTTATTAATGACTTGGAAAAAATCAACTGAAATGGTAAAGTAGGTCCACATGGACACAGTTCTTCCCCTCATTACCTCCCAGACTCTACAGATAACAGTTCAGTGTATCTGAATCTGGATCTAGCACCAGTTTTTTGGTTTTGGCACACATATGCTGTACAGTGAGATGTGCCATTTCTGCAATGCTATTTTTGCAAAATAAACTGGTGAATGTCAAACAGATGCAGGGCATCAAACTGCTCTTAATATGAGTGAGCATAAAGTCTSTTGCATTTAAGGAACAATGTACTTTTGGTTCATCATTGCTGGATTTGCTCCATTTTGTTTATAAACACTGTCCTGCTACATTTATTATAAAAGAAAAAAAAATAACTTCCTTCATATCAGCCTTTTTAGAAAAAAAATACTAAACACAGAAATAACCTAAAACATTTAATTCTTTTCTAAGTAGCAAGTTATAAAATACATCTGAAATTGTGCAGGAACAAGGAACGGTCTGCAATGGAGATTCTAAGTTCCTGGAGTCCAAGTTCAGAATTACGGCTTAAACAGGTAATTACCAATATAGAAAGGTCCAAATTCCTTCAACATTAAATGGAAAAAGGTGTGCATCCAAGCTAGCTGTCTAATTTGTGTACATAAACATGTACGTGCATGCATAATAAAGCTGTGTACATGTGGTTGAGGAAGACAAGCTAAATATTTAAAGTAATGTATTTAGAAACACGATTTCATAATATACTATGAAATGGAATTYATTTTAAGATGAATGTTATGTGTTAAGAATTAATCTATTCTCTAAAAAGATCCTTAAATCAGGATCAAGAGTACTCAACCAATTTGTCCATATCTTTCTTGAAGCATGATGCTCAAGAACTAATATTCCAGGTAAGAATTTACCAGTGTTACCAAGAGTGAGAGAATGACTTTTAGATGCCTTAAGAACAGATTCCCTGACTCCCCCATTCATCTGCACTCGATTTATCTCAGTCTGTTTCRCCAATTTGTCAAAATCACTGTGAAGTCTAATGCTGGCCTCCACAGTATCTGCAACCCTGCTCAGTATCAAATGCCTGCACATTTCTACTATATAGCATTATTTACATTGAYCTAGAAAATAAACTATTGGGAATCATGAAAATGTTTCAAAACATSAACACAGAACTGGAGGAGATGGAAGCCACAGATAATCACAGGAAAAAAAAGCACTTATTTTCAGCATTTGGCCCTGAAGTCAGTATTTCATATATTCCTGCAATGAAGGCCAAGATATAACATACTTAAATCCCAAATAACAAGAGAGCTGTTTAAGTTTTTCAGACTTTTTACTTGGACTTTGATTAAATAAAATATAACAAAATATAACAGCTCTACCTTTAGCTAAAAAAAAAAAAAAAAGAATGTGACAAACTAGCAAGTCAGTTGACACTAAATGAGAGTAAAATTCAGTGGATCTACATATAAAACGCCAAAGAACAAATACTACACGAAAGGTGTGATCCAATTACAAAATCAATTTAGTGTTTCCTGTTACTCTGAAAATACTCCAAAGAAAACCTTCTGAGAGCTAGGTTAGCATGTGTAAAACTGCAATTCAGACAGCTTTGCAATTCCCTCTTTCTTTAATTTCCCAAGTATTGTTTTCCTCGTCTCAAATGAGACACGACTTTTCCCGTAAACACCAACGTCTTAGAAGAAATTAAAACTCCCAATCCTGATATCAAAAATGTATTACCTCATTGCATTTACTTATTCGCCTAGCCACAATAAGCTGAATCATCCCTCGCTTGTTTCCTTCGGTGGACATGGAGCGCCGCAGGGTTTCCATAGCATCTTGATTTGTTTTGCCCAATAATGACTCGCCATTCACCGCTATTAGTTGATCGTTCACTCGAAGCCTGCCATCCTGGAAAAAGGAAAGGTTACAGCCCGTTGTAAAAAACCCCAAGGAAGAAGACAGTCTGCAGGAAAGGCAAAAAAAAAACCCACCAAGCAAAATAAAATAAAATAAAAGCTAATCAAGCAACTTAGATCTAATTGCTAATGGCCAAGTGAATTCTAGTATAATAGTTCCTATGCAACCATTTAGGAAGTGTCTATTTCAATCATTTATAGACTTGCACTTCAAGCCATTATCATAATCTGTTTACACAAAAAGCATACTAATTAACTGTCCCAGAGATTGCCATTTCCTTCCTGAGAATCTTTAAGGCTGAACAAATCCTGACACCCACAAACATGGGAATCTGAGTGCAAATACGAAGGTTTTTCTTATTTTAAGATTAGGAAAAGCCAGTTACAGAGGAATCCTATTCTTCTTGAATCTATAGTTACTTTCCAAAAAGCCTGAATTTTGGAAAAGAGAGGAAGAAAAAAGTGCACATGTTCCCTCTTACCTTGGATGCTGCTCCACCATTAATAATGGACTTGACGAAGATTCCTAAATCTGCATGGTTCTCTTTGGAGCGGTTACCTTTGACACTCACACCTAGTCCAGCTGATCCAGAGTCATTAAGTGGAACTTCAAATGTCAGGAATTCCCTGGTGCCATCAGGTGTAAGAACAAGCTCTTCTTCTTCTGCTTTCTGTCGGGAAGATTAATACGGAGTTATAGAATAGCATTTCTCTTTGGGAATTCTCTTCCCTGCACAGCTAATAGCTTGAAGAAAAAAAAAAAAAAAAAAAAAAAAAAAAAAAAAAAAAAAAAAAAAAAGAAGAAAAGCTTTCACTATAATGCCACAATATTTTCCACAGCAATTATTTGAAGAACCATGCACAAAATAGTGTATATGCAATCACCTCCATGTGATGCCTAGATTCAGGAATACCTTGTGTTTGTGTCTAACTGCTTCTCTGTCTAGTAAAATAATTGAAATGTGTGTCATCCCTGAATATTCCATTAATCCGACTCGTATTTGTGCTGTTTCACTGGCCAGAAAGAAAGGCTGTATCATGAATACTTTCTTACTTGCAAACCTACAGAACCTTTACAATTTCAGCAGCAGCATCTACGGTATCTTTGTGAGTCACAGGGAGAAACTAAGCGCAAGGAAAAGAAGTTTGAAAATTACTCATTCACCTCCTTTTGTTTGGAACAGTGTTTGGAAAAAATAGAAGATTACACAGCTGAGACCAACAACAGCACATGTCTCTGCCATGGCCTAGCTCACCAGCAGATCCAGCTTTCTCGTCATTTCTGGCTCTGCCCTTCTCTCCGTCCTCTTTCCCACATCTCCGGTTCCTCCACGCGTATTCCCTGGCCCCCACGCCCAGCCCGAGCTCCCTGGSGAGCGGTGCTCAGGGTGACCCTGCTCCACGGGCAGGGCCGGGCTGGGCCCAGGCTGCCCCGGTTGGGCTCCAGCTGCACCTGGCGGCAGCGGCGCACGGAGAGGCAGCGGCCGGGCCCCCACGAGCAGCGCTCTCGTTTTCCCATGTTAGCAAATACACCACCACCCTCACCGACACTGTTTGTGTATCTGCTTTCTCCACATGACCCTCATCTATTCCCAAAACTCCATCGTCCCATTTCCCTGCTGTTCCCGGACACATTAGGAATTAACTTCTGCTTGTGGAGCATTCCCTGTTTCTTCTTCTTCACTGTTTCTTAAGACCTGAGGAAATCCAAAGCTTATGGGGTCTTCTGAAATCTAAACACAGACTACTGCAAGGACAGATGTGAAAGCCATGTGGAGTACACAAAGCAGAGATTATCAGTTTGGGCACATGTAAGTTAGTTCTTCTCACCAGCAAAACAATGTGAAAATGTTATATGGAAGGAAGTCAGGCTCCTGAGGGAACTGGAGGAGCCACGGGACCAAATCATSAGCTCTACCTTTCCCACCAGGCTAAAGGCATGAACCTTAACATGTTCACCATCCCAACCCCTGCATTAGACACTATTCACTTGTAACTAATAACAACTAATAACTTTTACTAATAACAATGTTTAATAATTAAATAGCAAGTGTCATAAGCCTGGCTCATATCCCATATCCAAACTCATCTCTTAGCCCTGAACAYCAGCAATAGCTGTGTTAGCTGCCAGGACTGGAAAGGTTCACAACATCATGGGAAAAAAGAATGGGTCAAAAAAACCCCACGAAATATACTGCAAAGTTCCAAAACTAATTTTCCTATCACAAGACAGGGTCTTGTTCAAAAAACAAGATTTTTTTTGATGTTCAAAAAAACAGAGCCTCAGCTGTGGCCATCTCCTTTCTAGTGCAGAGGACTAAAGAGTGTCCTTTGGGAGCATCTCTATGTGCCAAAAAATGGGTCAATTGGAAAGGCTACGTGAGGACTCATCCCCAAAGACCCGGCTAACAGCCTCTACACTGCTGCTGTCCAGAGAGACCAAGGGCTACAGCAGCCTCTCCACACTATTCCTAATGTGATTTTTCTGTTTGCTTCTTTTCTACATCCTCAAACAGGGAAACAACCTAACACTAATATAGRGCTACAGACACAGGAGAGTGTAGGTGAAACTTGAGGCCTGCATCCAGGGCAAACTGCTCCAGAGCAGCTGCAGGTGGATRCCAGAAATTAGAAACAAACAGGCTCTGCACTGACAGGGAAACAGGGAAGCAATGAGGGAATTACCCAATTTATCCAAAGAAAAATTTAGCACCACTGGGCTGAGACTAGAACGCTTTAGGGGTTTCTTAAGGTTTTCACAGCTTTTTTCAACGGAGCCAGCTTTTCCCACCACCACTTCTTTGTCCACAGTTTTAGAGACATGAGAAGCCTTCCGCCCTCCACCGCCTTCATGTCATCTGTCAGTAGCATATGCTGAAATGCAGCTTTTAAAGGAGAGAGCAAGAGAGGGAACAAACGTTTCCTTTTGACACATACAATTTCTACTAGGAATGCTCAGGAAGAAATGATGTGACATTCCAAAATACTGAACCACTAACATCCAAAGACTGGATACTAAAGAACACTAACACTTGTGCTACACCATGGCGCAACAAAAGGCCTTAATATATACATTGTTTTGAAGATATGTTTCACAGAAAGCATAATATATACACATAATGATCAAGAAAGCCTGACATCTAACTCCATCCATAAAGAAACCTTTCTGAAGAGATAAGCAGCAAGATTTTAGCTTGATACTTTGAAGCAAAGTTGTAAAATCTGTGTAGTATCAAGACTGGTTGCATCTTTTGTTAGYCAAAGCACTGGAGTACAGAAACATGCATTAAATACCAGCTACTATAAAAGTAACATTTGCGTTAAAATTGCATCAAGCATTTAGCATACAAATACAGCTAGCTATATGGATTCCCTAAGATAGTCACATATCTGCATAAAATGCACAAAACCCTAAAATGCAGCATTTAAAAKTTTAAACTGAAAACACAATCACTTCCAAATTTCAGTAACTTCCAATTGATCTTAATACATTTTATATAACACCTTCTCTATATCAATCAAACACCTCAACAGTATTTCTCATGATTAGTTATCTGTGGGAGAAATGTATCGCTTCATATACTTTGACAGGCCAGCAATAAATATGCGAGCAAGTTTATGTTCTTTGAACCCTCAACAGCAAAATTGAACTCCCTTTTTCCACACACAGCGTCCAGAGCAATTAGCAGCAGAACAATATCTGCTCAGACTGAGTCTGCTGAGAAAAGAGGTCATCTGAAATGACTTCAGCTGAAGAATGAAGCTGCTCAAGTATGTAATTTGTAATAAAAATTCGATTGGTGAGAAAATATGTAGGTGATTTTTTTTCTTCAGATTCATACTTAGCATCAATTTATACTAAATGACATTTGAGATAAGGTTTTCACTTCTTAAATGCAACATATAGTATAAATTCAAAGATAAACTTCCTGACTGGAGAAAACTTATGGCAGTGTTTAGACATATACGGAGATTAAAAAATCATAAGATAAACAGAGGCAGGGGATTTTTCTCTGCTACATACTGTTGGTTTCTGATATGATCATAAAACCTGATTTAATTTTATAAACAACATTGAAATGGACCTTGGCACTAACAGTGCAATAAGTTTATTTCATCCCGTTAGTAACAGCATCTTTTCCTTATCCTATTATATTTTAAATATTCTAAAGAAACTTCCCACTTGGGATTTCTTTCCTTATAAAAACCTCATTTGGGATCAGCTGGTGAATAAGCAGCACAAGATGGGTAGAAGAAGAAACCTCACAACATAAAAAATTATTCCCACCTAAGGCGGGAAGCAATTTTCAGTCAAGCTGGGACAAGTTTCCAAAGAGCCTCTCTGCAGCTACGGATCTGCCTGCACTCTCCACGCATAGGTTCATGCTCCGCGCAAGCTTAGACATGCTGTCTTCTCAGCAGCTATTAAGTCATGGAAACCTGTCTGCAGCTCCCTTCTGATTATGGAGAAAGAAAAGAAATAAATTAATCATGGGAGGCTCTAAGCAAAAATTGAGTTCACTGCTCATTTCTTTCATAGAAGCAAACAATAACACTCTGTATCCACACACAYTCTTAGCATTCATTTAATTATTATTTTATCACAACAATCTTTTGCCTCATGAACATGCCTTTTCTTCCAAAAAGAAAGTTCTTTCAACTGAAAACTGATGCATCCTGCCATACTCATGTGTTACAGATAAATATAATAACAGCAGCTCATTCAGACTTAAAACTGGACCTCTGGCACAGCAAGGCCTGATGACGGATCTAATGGGACACACACTTTCCAWCTGAGCTTCCTCCTGAAACTGTACCAGGCCTTTATCTCTTTTTAAAATATTTTTAACCAAACAATAATGTTCTGAATTACAGATTAAAGGCCTAAAGTGTCTACTTACCTAGTTATAAAATGATATAAAGCTTAAGCCAACTAAACAACTGAAATTCTTATGCTCTCTTTCTTTTCTAACTCTTCCTAAGTTATTATAATATCTCCCATATRTTAGATAACACTAATGAATCTTATTTGCACGTATATACTGAGACTCATTATTCATATTAGCAAGTTAATATGTTGCATCTGGCAAAGACTGCACTTTTGTTCAAATCAAACAGCAGCTGCTAAATATCAAAAACTATATTTGAATTCTGAAATTTTATGGGAAATGTGGGTCTGCTTTAATTTTAATCCCATCAAGGACAAGTTATTTGCATATTATACATGGCTTAACTTTGGAACATACTTATACACAAAAATGCCAGTTTATGGAACACCGCAGAACCAGCCTGTTTTATTTCCAGTTATGTTCATTTTAAGGAGTTAATTTAATATAAAAAGTACATATTCCATATACAGAAATGTATTCAATTTAATGTTTTTGATGGATAAAAAAAAGTTTAGGAAAAAAATACATATTCTCCAAAGAAGAAGAATTCTAGCATATGATCTTCATTTAGCATGAAAATCAAAAGCTTTGCAAAAGCCCAACTTTAAGTATTTCCACATGATTGTTATTTATCTATATAGGAATGCCCCTGCTTGTCTATGCTAACATTATTCTTCTTAATACTAACATGCTGATCTGAGGTGCTATAGATACTGTTTTAGGCTGTTAAGATTCTGTGTTTCAACTTAACTGATCAGAGCACTAAAATTTCATTATATATT